TCTCTCTGTCAAATAAATAAAATCTTTAAAAAAAAAAAAAAAAAACCACCTGTGAACACAAAGTTTCCAGCCTTGTTTGTCTCCAGTCCACTTTCCACATTACTACCAGAAAAGCAAATCAACTTAACCACACTTCACTCCTTTAAAAGAATCCAGCTATACTTCCTAATTGCCTACAGAATGAAGATCATGGCACCTACTTCTGTTTACCATTGTATCCCCAGTGCCTACCTCAGCACCTGACACAGAAAAGTGCTCAGTAAGCATCTGTTGAATGCCTTAAGGACCTCCATGACCAGGCTCTTGACCACCCCTCCAGTCATAACTGAGGCTTCCCTCAAGCCATCTTGATCTCCTACTAGCTCTTGAACTCGTCTTGCTCTTTCTTGCCTTCATGCTTTTGCACCAGCCATTCTTCTGGCTTAGAATGTTTTACCTGCTAGGGCTCACATCCTACTTTCTCTCACCAGCTCCATGTGGTAAACGCGGTTTCATCTCCACCAAGAGAATACTGCTGCAGTCCTCTCTCAACGCAGCCCCTGACCTATGATCAGTGCTCATTTTTCCTCCAGGATCAGAGGCTGAAGGCTGAGCTGGGATCAGAATGTATTGGTTTTCAGACTTGGGGCTGTGTGTGTGTGTGTGTGTGTGTGTGTGTGTGTGTGTGTGTTGTGTGTGCGCGCACGCGCGCGCACAAACTCATGAGGGTTTGAGACAGCAGGTATCAAATCTGGACTTGGGTTCAGCTTTCAAGGGTGGTTCTGCTATGATTTCATTCCCATTATAGGCAAAACAGGTGTTTGGGGACTGGCCTGGGTACCCAAAGGTTAATTATCCACACACCTCAATAAAGCTGCCCAAAAAAGATTATTTATCATTGTTTTTCTGGGGGGAAATAGTTTCCATTTGCAAATTGGAAACTACCTGAACGTTATTGCCAGTTACCATCTTCTTGCTTCTTTAAAAACAAACTCTTGAAAAAAAAAATTTTGGCCAAAACTCTATCTACCTCTGATATGGAAGCCATGCTTTCTTTTTTTTTTTCCCTTAAACAACAAACAGGCGGAGTTTTAAGGAACACTAAGTTAGTTATTCCGTGGTCCCCAGACTCCTGACACAGTCAACACATTCAAATAAGAGAGTGTGTGGTTGAGGTTCTGGGAAATACCTGGCCCAATGGTTCAGGATGATAATTTGTGAGATTCAAAGATTGAAAGCACTTCAGAAGCACCACTCCAGCCCCTACTTCCTCAGTATTGGCAGAGAACCTAATAATTTTGAAAAATGATGAAAGAAGATAAAAGCGAGGAAAACGAAACATGGCCCATGGTTAATGTCTATATCTTCAAATGTAATGCAGTTATTCAACTAATTTAAAATACCACTGAAGTGAGATGACTCTCTTTAAATATTTTATCACTAAGATGCAGTAAGATTCCTTAACATATATTACCACTTTTTCCATTTAATTACTGATCAAATGTGCTAGTTGAAAAGACTAAGATCTTGCCATACACCAGAATGATTTGTGAGACTAGAGCAAGCAGGCCTGTGCTATCTTCCTCTTGATTTTCTAAAAACTGTTCATGGGTAAAAGATGTTGACTCACTTGAATAGAACTTTCCTATTTATAGTGGTTAATACAGAAACCACACAGGATCCAGTCCTGGCACTGTAAACCTTTGAACACTACATCTATGAAATTCTGTTGTCTTTTTAAATTTTCAGTAACATTTCTCTTTGCTATACTTATCACATTTTCCGAAATATGAAAACGTTCTTCTTATTTTAAATGTTGACTACACGTGAAAAATTAACTCTGGTTCTATTACTTCAAACTATCCCTTTATTAGCAACAGTTGTGCAACGCTGTCAAGAGGAATTTTAAAGCGAAAGTACCAAATCTGGAGAGTAGACACATCTGTTTTACTTTGCAGTTTGTTTTATTGTTTTATTTCTTAGGCTATGAGTTCACAACTATCTTATAACTGAAGACTAAAGAAAAAACATATGTTGGTAAATCTGATTTCTGCATTTTTTTTCATTCAGGGGAAGTTGCCTCCCTCAGCTGTCTGCCAATAAGTAATAAATGGACTTGGCAAAAAGTTTATTTAAGTTGGCTTTATTAAGCCAAGAAAATACAGAAATCAAGTATGGGACAGGCAGAAAAATCTGTTCCTTTGAAGTCAATAAAAATCCATCTCCTTAATCCTTTTTTTATTCCAAGCAGTGGTGATTTTTCTCGACTGACTCACTGAGAACCTTGATTTAGCCAATCTGTCTTGCTTAGTTATCTTTCTTCTCCAAAGCTTTCCTAAAGAAGCATCCTTTCCCCTTGACAACCATCATCTTATATACTTGAATAGTGATGCATCTAGTTATAAACATTCTCTGGTTAATCCTGATCGAGACTTAAGAAACAGGTTTTTAATTACTACCCATATTTTACAATAAAAACAGCAATAGCTTGCAAGCTCTAACAAAAGGCACACAGAAATGATCAACAGCAGAAGGATGGCTACAATTTGATACCATATGTCTTTCCTAAGCCATTTCCATTCGACCTTCTGACACAGCCTCCTATGGCTTCTGCCTACTTACTCATCATGTCCATTACAGGAGAAACTTCAGGACTCCCATGTAATAACTCCTTTTCCATGCCCCAACCCATCTACTCACAGGTGCTGAGTCATGCAGAAATATATACATAAGAATGTATTCACATTTGACGACTTTGGGATTTCAAAAGGAGGGCATTATCTTGGTAGAACAAAAGCATGCACTGACTTCGTGACACTCAAGAGTTTGGCATCACCTAATAACATCTGGTTGTACAGAGTATGAGAAAAGGATTCCTTACCTAAACTAAAGAGCACCAAGAATTTCAGACACACAAACTCTCGTTGATCAAACTGTAGAGAGCGAAGCTTTACCACTAACTCCTGTGCATGACTCATGAGATTGTTGAGGGTGGCCCCGGCTTGGGACGCTATTATGGAATAATCCACCTGCAACACAGAATCAGTTGTAATGACTGTCAGAATCAGAAACAACAACAAAAAAGAATCAGAAACAAATATTTTATTTGCAATTTTTAGGAATTGTGGGTAAAATCAGATTGCACTATAGATTTATAAGAGGGGACATTGCCCATGAAGATGGTTTGAGACATGTTATGATTCTGAGATGCATCATAATTATGCTGATAAATCTAATCATTTTGATAAGCTTTGTAGGGAACAGATTTTGCCTACCTAAATTTCACAGGTATATGCCTTCATCTTTTTTCTATTGTGAAATTACATTATCACATAAGGTTAATAATTTTTAACTTTCACAAATCAGCTTAAAGAAAACTACACTATCAAAAAAAATTGAATCCAGAACAGCATGCTATGTGCACACGATGACATTAACTAGTGCATGAGGAAAGTGAAGGCAGAGGTATGTTTCCATTTTTATTTTATTAAGAGACTATGTTTTAAAGCAGTCATTGTCCAAGAATGCATGCTTGTGGATGATGAAAGAATCACATTTAGATTATTCTTTAGCGGGTCGCTTCCTAAAAAGCAACAACTACTATTTTCATTCATATGATTAATACATTTCTCTCTAAAGACAGCAATGATCTTCTTAAGAGGAATAATTTCTTGATATGGAAAACATAACAAAAAGGGCTTATTTTCTTCCTCATTAAAAAAAAAAAAAAGGTGCTGCAATGCACCAATCTTATTCAGGGGGACATAAAAAGTTCAGTTTATAATAATAAGTTAAGATGTTGGGATGGCTGTCAATGATGGTACTGGCTTTGCTGCTGCAATTATAGCATAATGGGAAAGCCCAGTTGGTACCTGATGCTCCCATCCTTTTTGTACCAGAGAGCTCTCAGGCAACCAGATACTCTTTCAGGTGCATTTAATATTTGCAGCAGCAGCAAATTTGTCTGGGAGGCAAGTCCTCATCTGCCACTCACCCGGAGCAGACTGTATTAAATTTTTATATTTATTGACATTTCATTACCATAATTGACTGCACTTGCTTCTCCAGGAGAAGGCACAGGGCTGCCTCCTAAGCAGGAGAACTAGTCCCTAGAGTAGAATTTGCAATTAAAAACAAGGCAGAATGGATTTTTTTTATTGTGTAAATATGATGAGTTGAATTTTCAGCTTTAACTAGAGAATACTGGGTGTACAGAAACCCTTTTTCAAGAGTGAGAAAAATTAGGAGTCAGTGGAAAGACGACCCCCAAAGGTGTCAATCAGTTTATGTAGAGTCAACTATGCATGAAAAAGGCACAGTTAATGTGTGTTCTAGGTCTGCTCTTGTATCAAGCACTGTCCTCCCTGCTTTGTCCATGTGCTGGCTTCTGTCCACTACATTTAAACATCAAGCGTTCTAGGAACTCCTTTGGTGTCTGTTTCAGAATGTGTGAAAGAAAGGGCCGGGACCCAGGCAACCAGAATCCTGAGCAGGAGGCAGAGAGGACAAGCAGATGAACGCGGTGGAATGCATTAGGATGATCTGCCTAGCCCCCAAAGGGATGTCTCAGCTTCCATTTTGCCAGTTCTCTTACAAGAGATCTTTCTACTCCAGGGAAGTTCTTCTTACTTAGAAGTGGTGCCTGAGCTCTCAATTCTTTAGCAACTATACATGGTCTCACTACACCCAGGTAATAATAGAAATCCTACAAACAGGACAGGTGAGTGAATGACAGCAGGAAGGCCCCACGGGGTCACAGAGGTGGAAGAAAACTGGGACAACACAGGAGATCTGGGCCAACGTGGCCACTTACAAACGAAGCATCTTGGGCGAGTCATATGGAGTCTCCATCCCTTGGTTTCCTGATCTTTAAATAAAGCAGTTAAGCTAGAGGATAATAAGGTGCCCCCCATTTCTGTGATTATCAGGAAATGAGAGTACTTGGGCTAATACTACCAATTTAAGCTAGGAATCAGCTGTTGAATGCACTGCAGCTGGAGCTTAGTATGTACATAGCACATTTTAATCAAAATCACAAGTGAAGCTTTCAAAAAGGAAAGTGCACTACAATAAACCACAAATATGTTGGTACTAATTAATTTTTCATAGTATAAAGTTAATTAAGTTTTGCTATGTGTATAGTTCTAACAAGTATGCAAGAAGTTCAAATACTAGAACGGCATGCTTGAAAATGTAGTAATTAACCAGAATCTCATTTTTTTAAAGATCGGTTAGTTAAAATTCGGTATGTGTACAGTTCTAACAGGTGTGTAATACTAAGTTCAAGTCCTAGAACTTTACACTTGAAAGTATAGTACATTATACCCGAAAGGAAGTGAAAATGTTTCATAAGATTCTATTTACTGAGAGACCTTTAGGGAGATGAACTTCAGGAAATCAATTGGCATACCAACAACTTTATAGCTATACATTTATTTACATGCTAATTTGAAAGCTCAAACATGCTTATTAAATGGGAGCTCCAATAACACTTCCTTCAAGGATAATTTATCAAATTGCATGGCTCCGAAGGAGGATAGGTGATTTATTCCTGAAACAGCACATAGATCTGCAACTTCCTTACATTTTATTACAAACATAATTATATTTTCATTGTTGAATGCAGAGTTTGTGCTCATTTTAGGAGCAGCTGGCCTTGTCTTTTATGTACTTAGTAAAATTAATTTATTGCTCTCTTACATGTAATCTTTGTGCCATTAAACTCAAGGCAGATATTGAAGAAATACTATAAGCTGATGTCCCCTTTGGATAAATTTCACTCATCATGAAGGTAGAAACAGTTTTAGCTAAATTGCTTTTAATTCTAATAACTGAAATTTTTGATGACTTGTACATTGTAAGATGCCTGTCATTTTAATATGATACACAATAATAGAAGATAATGAATAAGTTGCTGGTAGACCTATCCCTTAGGATGATGTTACAGGGGCTGTTAATTAGCTACAATATGCAAATACTAAAAGCGATCCCTCTTCAAAGGACTCTGTTGTTATTTTATATATATATGTATATATATATATATACACACACACAGATATGTTTTGTGTGCATATATTTTTAAAATACTTGATAGAAACAAATTCTTGTCATAACTCTAAGATGTTAAAAATATAGAACTGATATGATAATCCTGATATTACTGATATTAATACTAATTATTATGTGAGTTACTAACACTAATTAATATTACCGATAATTATTTCCTTTTTGCTTAACAAGATTATTTAACATATGCTTATATAGATGTCTGATTAAAAGACATAATGAATGCATGATGGCTGACCTTAGTTTTAAGAAATTTGGTGTGAAGCATCAAATCCTCATTTCAATACTGGGTAGTAGTGCCCTGGGCTGTTCTTTGCAGTGGGATTATTTCAACTACTCTAGATCTCAATGAACTATGAAGGGACTCCATTCTGCAAACATTTATTTAGCGAACATAATGTGCTAGGCACAATGCTAGCCATGGGACTTTTGAGAAAAGTTGTGCTATTTTATCTAACTTTCTTCTCTCTTCAAGCTCCAAGTAGCAGTTCCCTGGAGGTCCCCCTCACTTAAAAAAAATTCAGTCTAGTCTTTTTCTTCCTTCTCTGTTGTAACAAATGCATCACATTATTTACCATGAGATGCGTTCAGGAAGAAAATACCAGAATACTGGGTCAAGGAGTACCTGGGGCCTTGCATTCCTTAGTTTGTCTAGCAGAGTTGCTATAAAGCATTGTGTAGACAGTATATGCATGCTCAAGCTGACACAAAATTGCTTCCTGGGTTGCCTTTGTGTCAGGACTATAGTCCTGATATTATAGACTGAGGCATATTTAATAATACTATTTATTAATCTTAAAATAAACAGCATAGGGGCGCCTGGGTGGCTCAGTTGTTAAGTATCTGCGTTCGGCTCAGGTCATGATCCCAGGGTCCTAGGATCGAATTCCTCATCGAGCTCCCTGCTAGATGGGAAGCCTGCTTCTCCCTCTCCCACTCCCCCTGCTTGTGTTCCCTCTCTCGCGCTCTCTTTGTCAAATAAATAAATAAAATCTTAAAAAAAAAATACCGAGCATAAATATTTTCATTTGTTCTAGAACAAATCACCACAGGGCAGTTGAGAAAATTCTATAAGTAAACCTGGAAATTTTTTTTTTTAATATTTATTTATTTGACAGAGAGAAAGACAGAGTGCCCACACACAAGCAGGGGAGAGGCAGACAGAGGGAGAAACAGGCTCCCTGCTGAGCAAGGAGCTCAATGAGGAACTCGATCCCAGGACCTGGGATCATGACCTGAGCTGAAGGGAGATGCTTAACAGACTGAGCCACTCAGACACCCCAAACCTGGAAATTTCTAAAGAATGATTTGGGAGTACCGTATTTCTTCTGGTTGAGGCTAAAAAAGGTGGTGGAGTTTAGTTAAAGCTTAGTTAGTTTAGTTAAAGTTTTATCCAGAAATTCCTTGTCACTGCTCTCAGTTTCTATCTCCACCTGCAAAGGAGTCTGGTCAAATACCATCTCTGTAGAAATAAGGCACTTCCTTCTAGAACTGGAATCTGGACAGCTTCACATGCCCATCTGACTCCCTTTGCAGTTCCTCCTCTGAACCTTCCATCTTATCTGAACCCGTGTCATGCAGCTTACCTGTGAAAGTGCACAGTGCAAAGCACTATGCAAGGCTCGGGCATCACCGTCATTAGACGATAAATTACACCTCTTATCACCACTGAGTGCAGGACTGTGTCTAATTCCCCTCCCCGACATCTTTGATTTTCCTTCAATTATCAGGCCTTCAGAAATGTTTTTAAATTAAGTGAATCAAGTTGTTTTTCTCCTGTAGGTGAGTGTTCAGCTGCCCATAGGGGTATTTTACATGCTACCTTGAAATAATGTTTAATATTTTCACCATGGTATCAACATCATGACTTGAGGCTTCTACCATTGTTTCAAAGTTAACATTCTGCACAAATCTGTGGTAGTAGGTCAATGTGTTTTGGTGGCAGAGGAATTCTTTCCTTCACAAACCCAAGAAAACCCCGCATTTAGGAAGAAAACTCAACAAAAACAGTTGATTTAGGGTGGCAGCATTCTTCTTTCTAGCGTTTTCTTAATGCTGAAGTAATTTTAAAATGGTAATAATCATGTTAAAATACTTCTGAGGTTAAAATTTATTTTTACAATGTGTTTACAACATCACACCAAAAAATTTAATAAATAAATAAAACAAAGCCATTTAGGCTCAATAAAGAAATGAATGTCTTGCTGGGAAGTTCCACAGAAGCTGTCATGCACAGAAATTATACATGAAGACCCAGTGGAGAGACTATGGTGAAAGCAAGCTCTCTAGCATCTGTGAGATATACAGAAAAGCAGTATAGTATGTTGGTTAAGAACACAAACAATGGGGCACCTGGGTGGCTCAGCTGACTGATCATCTGACTTTTAATTTCAGCTCAGGTCATGAGATCGAGCCCTGTGTCAGGCTCTGGGCTCAGCATGGAGTCTGCTTGTCCCTCTCCCTCTGCTCCTCTCCTCACTCTTGCTCTGTCTCTAAAATAAATAAATAAAACCGTAAAAGAAAAAAGAAAAAAAAAAAAAACACGAACTTTGGAACCAGGCTTCCTAGATTGGAACATTCTACTGCTTTTATTAGTTGTATTTTGACCTTGCACGAATTACTCTACCTCTCTTTGTCTCAGTTCCTCATCTGTAAAATGGGGATGATAGTAATAATAAATAGTACCTTCTTCATAGGGCTGTTGACTTCATACAGTCAGCTTCATGTTAGCTTAGTTTTGATAGCTTCTAATTTTCATGTCTGCACTTTACAGAACTATTTGTTGTAATTCCTATTGCAATTCTCTGAAGCAGATTCCCCTACAATCCCCACTGGGTAGGTGAGGACCCTGAAACTTGAACAGTAAAGGGAGTTGCCCAAGATGGCATAGCTAGTAAGATTTGGAATAGGAACTAGAACACAGGTCAATTTGATTCTAAACTAGACCAACGTGTACGGTAGACACACACACACACACACACACACACACACACACACACACACACCATTTTCATACCAGAGAGCAAGCAGCCTGCACTGGTAATGAAAATATACTCTACCCATAGTTTGACTGCTGTTAGACTATATACTAAGAAAGAGGAAGTTCTCTCTCTTTTGGGTTTCTTCAACGACCTCCATACATTTTCCTTTTAAAAATCATGTTCTCCCTAGAGTGTGTGGGTGGCTCAGTCAGTTGGGCATCCTACTTTTGGTTTCAGCTCAGGTCATAATCTTGGGGTCCTGAGACCGAGCCCCACGTCTAGCTCCACGCTGAGCGCAGAGTCTGCTTGTCCCTCTCCCTCTGCTCCTCTCCCCGCTCTCTCTCTCAAATAAATAAATAAAATCTTAAAAAAAAAAAAATCCCCCCCCCCCCCCCGAATATTGCCCTACTCTTAGTCTTCACATAGTCTTTCCTTTCCATTCAGCATTACTTTAACAATCTTCTTAAAACTAGCATACTCCAAATAATTTATTATTGTTATTGTTGTTTTAACAAAAAAAATCTAGGTTTTCCCACACTTGCAGCCAGGGAGGTATTTACTGTTCTAAGAAAATTTTACTTAATATTTTCACCTACATCCCTGCATCTCAGGTTGGGGAGCAGTACAGCCCTACTACAGTGAAAAGCAACTTCTGAACGTCAGACCAGCGCTGGGGTCTCAGCCCCACCACAGAAAATGGGAAGGTATAAAAAGGTATAGATGAGTTGTGGAAACATGGTGGGGATGCATACTCTGGGTGTTGAGTCCAAGTTAACTTGTTTTAATTAACCACTTAGGTTACGATAGGGTGGTTCTACTTTGGTACCATGAGCTAATATTTATCATGCACCTAACATATTCAGCACTAAATAGGTGCTGGGGAGATGTAAAAATATGTCTATGACTCCACATTAAAATATCTTTCTCATTCTTTTGGAAAGGTTGCATGCTTTGTTTGGAAAAGTCTTCCTTCATAGCATTTCTTTTGCTTTTATTTAAGAAATTGCGGGATGGGGCACCTGGGTGGCTCAGGGGGTTAAGCTTTCAACTCTTGATTAAGGCTCAGGTCATGATCTCAGGGTCAGGAGACTGAGCCTGCTTAAGATTCCCTCCTTTCCCCTCCTCCCCCCCCACCAAAAAAAAGAAAGAAAAGAAAAAAGAAAGAAAGAAATTGCAGGAGCATTTCTCTACTTGCTAGATGGAATGCTACCCAATTCATAATCAATAAAGCCAACTAGATCCTCAAAAAAAAAAAAAAAAAGAATCGCAGGAAGCCCAGAGATAGATTCAAAATGTTTTGTCTAGCCTATTCCACAATAGATAATACAAGGTTTGTTCCATAATTTTCATAAATAAGAATGTCGTTATAATGAATCATTATGATTCTTGGATTGGATGGAAAGGGGTAGGAGAGGGGTTTGACAGAAATGTGACTCACTTTATGAGGGCAGGAGGGAGCTAGAAGACTCTGGGTGACAGGAAAGATGAAAGGGAAGAACTAGTTCTCCACCAGGGAGTTCTGTATTCTGTTGTGATGACAAAACATGAAGTAGCAGTAATTGATACTAAAGATGATAAATACCATCTATTTCTGACTGTTCTTGGTTTTGAAAATCAGAGACAAGAAATGCACTTTCTCTACTTTTTAAATGGTAATTACCTTTACCCAGGGGCAGCACTTAAGGCAAAATGAAATGTGAAATAAGGAGTATTTCTAAAGAGCAAGAATGGAAGTGCTTTGAGAAAGAACGGCACAAACCCATTTGATTTCTGAAACTCAGAATGAAATGAAATCAAATTAATTTGCGGGCTGAGGTTCCTTCTAATGCAGTTCCTAGTCGGGTAGGGCTGAGCGGGGGAACGGAGGTGGGGTGGAGAGAGGGTTGGGAGGCATACCCAATGATTAAACTCTAGAAATGGGTACATTTCCTCCAAAGACTTGGGTCACTGGATGAAAATGCTTAACAAAAATATGGAAGTACAGAAAGTCAAGCCCATGAGACTTTATTTTCTCGTCTAGAAGGCTTTTCTCATGAGATATACAGAAAAACAGGGACCAGATAATGATGGAGATGGTTGAATTGATCCAATTTGCAAAAACTCTGAAATAGTGCTTGCCTTTAATTTGATTGGGAAAATGTGATTTATTAATAATACAGCAAATGGCGTGGAGACAGCCTTTCATTTTCAGATATGCACTGCTGTGGTTTCACAGCACATAAACATTTATGGCTAGATGTAAAAGATCACAGTGCCCGAGTCCTGAAGTATGGAAGCATTGCTGAACGCTGGAGCGATGCCTGAATAGGAATGACCCAATGGACTTATGGAATCACTATGTTCTGTGCATTTATTTTAATAACACATCAGTTATTGAATGAAGGCTAAGAACTGGGAGGGACATGCCAAAATCCTATAAAGTTGGACTTAGGTCCATTGACTCCTTTGTTCCCCAGATATCCATGAAGCCAACAACGACCTCTCCTCCTTCAAGTGTTTGCTAAAACATCACCTTTTCACTAAGACCAAAGCAACTACTCTTATTGACCACGGAAATCCTTGGGTCACGATGCAACCTACTACCCCCATGGATATGGGTGCATTCCCCTTTGCACAGCATGTTCTCTTTTCTTTTCTGTGTGTGTATTTTTTTAATTTTTTTTAATATGTTATGTTAATCACCATACATCATTCGTTTTGAAGCAGTGTTCCATGATTCATCGTTTGTGTATAACACCCAGTGCTCCATGCAGAACGTGCCCTCTTTAATACCCATCAGCAGGCTAACCCATCCCCGCACCCCCCTCCCCTCTAGAACCCTCAGTTTGTTTTTCATCTTTTATTCAACAGCACGTTGACTTCTAATACATTATACGTTTCTTATATACAGGTTTGTTATAAGATGATTCGTTATGGTCAGCTTCTCCCTGCTATGATGTTAAGCATTGCGAGGATAGGGTCTTTTTTTGTGTTGATCACTAATGCATGCCAATGCCCTAGAATAGTGGCTGGCACACTGTTGGATGTTCAGTAAGTATCTGTTGTCTTGTCTAAGAAAATATCTATTCAGAAAGTAGCAGGGAAGCGCCTGAATGGCTCAGTTGGTTAAGTGACTGCCTTCTGCTCAGGTCATGATCCTGGAGTCCCAGGATTGAGTCCAGCATTGGGCTACCTGCTGAGCAGGGAGTCTGCTTCTCCATCTGACCCGCCCCCCTCTCATGCTACCTCTCTCTCGTTCTCTCTCAAATAAATAAAATCTTAAAAAAAAAAAAAAGAAAGGAGTAGGAACTAACAGTAATTTTTTCTATTTTCCTTTTGAATGATGGCTGGCTCTTGAAAACTGGAACCCCTGTCCCTTTTCCCTCGTTTGCCTTTATGCCAAATATTTAGTTTATATATGATATTTGAATCAGCCTCTTCCACCATTATGATGCCAAAATAGTAAGGATTCCACAATGTATCAGCTTTTTAAATAGCTGACAAAACAAGTGTGGTAGATTAATGCAGAAACTTAAGGAAAAAATGCTGGGTACTAATCGTTAATTCTGATTTACCAGTTGTTTTGACCCTTCAAAGCACAACTGTCAATCCCAGCAGAGTGAAAGCAGCAGAATGTTTGTGATTGTGTTTGCTTTTACAAGTTTAACCATAATCATCAGTGTAGGAACAGAGTGCACCAAGTCAGCTTTTCTAAATTATTTGCAGCCAATCTTTCCCTTTCAAAGCACCAGAGTGCTTCTGACCTAGTTAAATTCCTGCCATTCTGAACATGCTTAATAAAAAGACATTTTTGGGGGGCGGGGGATCTCTATACTCACTTGTTGCCCAGTAACCAGGAAGATGGATCCTTCCTTTCCATGTACCACTTGTCGGTAAATGTGGTCGAGAATTAAGAGCTCACTCCAGCAATTCTGAAGCAGCTTCATTTGGTCATCAACCTATAAAAGAAATAGAAAAAAAATGACACTGTAATTCACTACATTTTTTATTTTTGCCTAATTTTCTACATAAGAGAACTCACTATAAGCAAGAAGTCTCTGCCAATGGTCATCATGGCACAAATGCTCGGAATTTACATCGTTGCTCCTGAAAATCATTATTTTCATTTGGATAAATACTTTTTAGGCCACATATGAATACTTAAGAGTAGTATTTATAATCAATGAGCTGCTAGGAAAAGGCCCTCCATTAGAGCGGTCTGTCTAATGTTAACAGAGCTATTAGAGTTTGCTTGTGGGAGGTCCAGGCGCCTCACACTGTCCTCGCTAGACCCCATTAGAACGGCCCCAAATAGTCTGTGCTTACGTATCTAGAGTTTAATACATTGACCCAAAGCTAAAATAGTACACAGATATTAGCAAGCTGCCAAACTGAGAAGATTTCTTTAAAAGACAATTAGCACGCCGGCACGAATGACTTTGGAAGATAAAGAGACACACTGCCTTATCTGGCATCAGTATTAACTGATGTGTGTGTCCAAACTGCCCTCGACTTTGATTATTTATTTTGATATATTTATTATTGATATATTTATTATTGGTGATTATCGGAATAATCACCAATCATGGTCTTGAGGCTCATCTACATTTGCTTTATGATTTGGATGATTTTCCCAAAAACACTCTAAACTTCGGTTTCCATAACTGGAAAATGAACCGAGAACATTACCTCCCTCACAGGACTACCGTAAGGATTAAAATGAAATGTGCTGGGTCACAGTGGGCATTTTATTCTTTATTTCACCTTGTCCTCCAGGGGACTGCATTCTTCAATGACAAAACCATACTTATTTCACGGACAGTTCACATATCCACGGTCTGAATGTGAAGAGCATATTGACCCATTGCAATGGCTACTTGTAACAGTGTGCTCTTCCTTTTGTAATATATAAAAGACCCTGGTTTTTCCAAATGCAGTGGTCATATTTAGACATACACTGTGAATTTATAAAAGTAACACCTGACATTGATACATTGTGTAGTTTTTTTTTTAGAGTCTTTGTGTATTGCTTTAGATTTGATTGACAGAACATGCCTTCGAAGTTAGCTGAACTGTTATCATTGTATTAAATTTATAGATGAGAAAATAGGGCTCAGAGACCTGCCTAAAAAATTCCCTTTCGCTCTCTCAAGCTCTAGGCTGTCTCCAAATTACATCAGGAGGTGCTAGAATTTTCTAAATGAGATGAATTTGACTTACTTTTAACAAATTCATTTTTAAGTGGCCATTCAATGGAACTCTGGATAGCTGGCTGTTTCTTAGGAAGTTTCCATTCATACATTGATTAGTACTGATATAAGCTTGTGACTAACTTTATTTCCATGACTCCGGGACATAGTGAACATGATCAAGGGAGCACTGAACTCATGGTACAAAGGATTCAAGACTCAGTTCGATACTTTCCAGCTGTGAGAGCTTAGTCAAATCACGTAACTCTCTAAGACTTATTTTCTCACCTAAAAATATGGGAAAGTTTTTGTGAGGATGAAATAAGGTAGTGGATGGGAAATCCCCTTCGTAAAGTGTAAATACACAAATGAAAATACATCAGACCGAGGGCTCGTGCCTGATGGACATGGATTCTGTGGAGAAGGAGAAAAGCAGTAGTATTGAAACTACAGAAAACTACAATTAGGCTCTGTGATCAGGAAAACACATCCCCAAACATCTCCATCAGAAATACTTTGAACCGGTTAGTCTGTTCTGACCAAAAGAATTTCATTCATGGGCGCCTGGGTGGCTCAGTCAGTTAAGTGGCCGACTCCTGGTTTTCGCTCAGGTTGTGATCTCCTGGGTTGTGGGATCGAGCCCCAAGTCAGACTCCTTGCTCAGCAGGGAGTCTGCTTTTCCCTTTCCCTCTGCCTCTATGGCATGCTATCTCTCTCAAATAAATCAAATCTATAAATAAACGAACAAAATTAATAAATCTTAAAAAAAATTTTATTCATTAAATACATCGATTATTTTTAATAGCTGATTCTTTGGTGGGTATGAGTGCCAGACCTGGGATATAATGGTGAGCAAGACAAAAGCAGTCCCTACCTTGTGAGAAGGACTCTCATGGGGGACAATGTTCACCCAAACATGACTTGGTGGTTTAGTGACAGTAGGAGGTCATATTCTTCTCTACAGAAAAATCTCCAGTGTTGTATGGTGTGACAAGTCAGCCTTTGGGCAGCAGTTGATGCAGATCCAGCTAAATGTTCTCCATAAACTGTTGTCACAAGGAGCAGTGGCCAAATGTCCCAAAAACATACATGTTGTGGCATCCAGGGCACATTCCAGGAACTGTCTCACCAGATGCTTGGTGTCATTTCCAAACAAAGCATACTTTGCTCTCCTGGGTTTTATTCTCATTTCAGCAAAAACATGACAGTATCTTATTTCAAATTTATCAGTCTGTGATGACAATTTGGTTCCACTGTAAGTTTTTTGGTTTTTGGGGTGTGTGTGTGAGAGAGAGAGAGAGCGAGCTATGAAGCTTTAGTGATTTATCGCTCTTTTGAGGAAAACCTAAAATACACCCCTCTGAGATTGTCTCCCCAGAAATAATTATTATACATGTTAATGTTGCAAATAATTTCAAAATGGGTGGGGGAATACAGACTCCTCAAAGTGCATTTATTGTTCCCATTTTGGAAAGATGAAAGAGCCAAGAGATTATCCGCTAGCCACACAGAAAAGGAGAAAGGGGGGAGGGAAAATGAAAAGAAGCATAAGTTTGGGAGCTATCTCATTAAGGGCTTCTTCCTCTTCATTTGCATATGATGGTCCCTTATTTTCGTATATAACAGGACAGAAATACTATGATAACAGTTTTCTAGCATCAAGCCATGTTCCAATCACAAGTCAGAATCTGACTTCTCCTGGCCACCTTTTCTTTTGGGATGTTGAAGACACACTTCCAAACAAAGATATTTTTTTGTCTCGTGTTCAGAAAAAGAATGGGGTGTATCATTTTCAGATTTTATGCCAAACTCTATGTGTGTGTGTGTGTGTGTGTGTGTGTGTGAGAGAGAGAGAGAGAGAGAGAGAGAGAGAGAGAGAGAGAGAGAGAGGAGTGCCAGCCAATTGCCAAGGAAGAAATAAAGGTTTTATTTTCACATATCCTCTGTAAGTTTCTCACTAAGGAGGGGCTGGATATTTTTTCATCCCCACTCCTGCCCACTGCTGCCTAGGTCCAGAGGCAGTAAGAAAATAGACAGGCTTTTAAAATCTGCGTATTTCCTGGTTCCTCTGCTGCTTCAGAAATTGCAAGAATAGGTGAACATGTCTATTTCCCGTAATTAGCACTTCACTTTTGGTTTTATATTTTGTACTGTTCGGGGCATCATCTCTTCCTTCGTGTCTAGCATAGGATCTTTGTTGTTATCACCCTGTTTCTGCAAAGTACTGTAATTACTTGTAAATCTGTCTGCCCTCCTCGAGGACAGTGGTGGAACCTGCCCCTGGAGCTCCCACAGTGCCTACCACAGCACCAGGCAAAAAAAAAAAAAAAAAAAAAGATGCATTTTATAAATGCTTGTTAAGACAAAAACCAAATGACTGAATTACCTTCCCTTCTGCACGGTTTCTGCTTTTCACCTGTGTATCTTTGGTACCTAGCCCACAAGAGAAGCAAGCAAGTCCTTCCGTGTTGGTAGAATAAACAACCATCTTTGCCCCACGTGATGAACACCCCAGAAACATGCATCTGACCCTTCCCACGTGTGCTGGCAGGTCCCGACCCATGGCTGGCCCTTCGTAAAAACTTCTTGACTGATTGTAATTTTAAAACTCCTCCTGAGCAATTGATTCCTTGTTTTAACACTCTCCCAGGGGGCTTTCCATGCCAACATTCCATTTCACTATTTTCCAAAATTGATTATGTCATATTTCATGTTATCTTGAAATTGGTGAGTATGCAGCTTCACGGTGCTTTGGGTGACAAAGTTTTTATGCAGCTCTATGAATAAAAGCACGGGGTAAATTTGATGACCGACTCGATCCTTATCTCTAGATAAGAAAAGCTGGCAATTTTGAAGATATTTTTTCTTTGGAAAACAGAGTTATAGGCGACATGGGGTGGGGGGCAGGGAGGAGGAGAAAAAGAATCCACTGCTTTTGAGTAAATTCTCCAGGTATGAATACTGTCAATAAACAATTTAGGGTGGCATCTGGGGAGCTCAGAAAGGGGACTGAATGAGTATAATTTCCATTATATATCAAAACCTCTCACTAGTTAGCCATACCGCCTCCTATAATCCTGTGTTATCAGCTGTAATAAAAGGAAAGACTTATCTCAGAAACCTAGTTACTCATCACAGAAACTATTTATATTGACGTTACGGATGAGTGTGTAAAGGAATACAAGCCACATATTGTTAATGAAGCACACTTCCCACAACCCAGAATGTTAATCATTAGAGATACGGGCTTCCTCCTAAGAACAGTGGATTTAGGCAAACAATTAGAAAAAGAAAAATGTGTAGAACTTTCTCAAGCCTGCACTTAACTTATCAAAACCTTTCTGTTGCCCCTTCCCCTTTACCTTTTATGAGTCTGGAAACTACACTGTGATTTCACTTTCCCTGGCGGATTTGAAAATTGACATCACGAATCACTGTGGTTAAACTTTAAGAAAGATATTTTAAGGGACACATTCTACTGACATGGATTGGTAATTTAAAAGTGGACGAGAACCCATCTCTTACTTCTGATCATTAAGTCTGGTGTTCTTTGTTAGAAACTTGGTTGGGAGGCGCCTGGGTGGCTCAGTCGGTTAAGCATCTGCCCTCGGCTCAGGTCATGATCCCGGGGTCCTGGGATTGAGCCCTGCTCAGCAAGGAGCCTGCTTCTCCCTCTGCCTGCCACCCCCCTGCTCGTGCTCTCTCAAATAAATAATTAAAATCTTGAAAAGGAAAGAAAAGAAACTTGGTGGGGTAAGAACAGAAGTGAC